GCTCGGAAGGCTGCCCTCCTCCTCCTCCTCCTCCTCCTCCTCCAGTGGGCGCAGCGCCGAGCTCCAGCGGGCCAGGCCGCGGCTCCCTCCGACAGCTGGCGCGCCAGGTGCTCGACGCGCGCCGTCCTCCAGTCGCTGGGCATCACGGGGAACGCGAGGGAGAGCGCCGCGCGCGCGGCCATGACCCGGCGGTCCATCGCCAGCGGCTCCATCGCGATGGCAAACGCGACCTCGGCTGGGAGCGGGAGGCGGCTGGCGGCAGGCGCCAGGTTGCGCCGGCCCTTCAGCGCATGCCGAGACAGGGGGGGCCCACGTGGCCCAGCCGAGGGTCCGCCCATGCGATCACGGCCAGCAGGTTCGAACCTCGCCAGCGGTCGAAACCCTACGTGCATTGTTCGTTCATCTAGTCGCTCACGTCCTGGTCGAGACAGTCCACGGCCCCAACGTCCAGGCGGCCGCTCTGGCGCGGCCTGCAGCTCAGGCCGTTCAGCTCCAGCAAACTTGTCCAGCTCGTGCAATTACTCTGAATAGCGCCGACTCGCCGCCTCGGTCCGAACCGACCTGGCCTGCAGGTTGCCCTCGTCTCCGGCTGGGTCGCAGCGCTGCGAAGCAAGGGGCCGGCTCTCGCTCGCCCCCGCGGGTGCCGCCGCAGCGCGTCCTCGCCGCGCGCTAGCGGCGCTGGCGCGCTCGGCGTCGGGGGCGTCCTCGGACGGCGTCGGCCCAGTACTGGGCAGGCGCGCTCGAGCAGGCCTGGGCCGGGGCTCGGCGCTGCCGCGGTTGCCCGCGGCCCGGCAGTCGTCGCGGGCCGCGATCTCGTCAGCGGCGGCGCCTCCGCCCCCGTGGCCAGCATGGCCCGGCCCCCGCGACGCCCCGTCGGCGGGCGCGGTCCCGCTCGCTGGGGAACCGGCGGCTCGCGAAGACAACGCCCGCGGCGAGGCCACGGGCAACCGCGGAGCGGAGCGCGGAGCGCGCCCCGACGGCAGACGACCGCCCCTCGCACAGAGCCAGCGCACAAGTAAGGGAACCCAGCATGAGCAGGTGGCGACGTCCGAAATTCATAGAATCGGCACACGTGTTTCATTGCGGCTGCGAGGCCTCGCCCCCCCCCCCCGGGCTGATATCGGGGCACCGCATTTCTTGCCCATGGGCACCGCCCGCCCCCTCTCGTTCAAGATCTGCGGCAGATCCGAAAGGGTATCCTCCCTCTCCTGCTTGTCATCCTCCACCTCCTTCGCCCAGTCGTTGGAGTCGAGATCCCCGTCGGGCCCCGCAACGCCTTTGCGATGCCTGATCTGGGCCTTGCCCGAGAAGCGCCAACGTTCGCTGACCCGCCCTGGGCGTCGAACCCGTTCGGGCGGGAGGTCGCGCGAGACGACGCCGTAGACCCGGAACGTAGCATCCGATGCAGTCGCCTTCGAACTCCGGGGCGCCCCAAAGTCACGACGCGCCATCACAGACTCCCAGAGCCGCGCGGCCCCGCGAAAGCGGCGACGAGCGACGAAGGCGTAGACGGACAGGAAGATGGACAGGGAGGCGCGGCAGAGGAGGGCGAGGGAAGTGCAGTGGCCAACATCTTTCTCGACGTCCCGAGCGGACGCCATCTCCGTGGCTATAGTGACCCATCCTGGGCAAGACGCATGCGCCAGGCGCGCTCTGGTCGGGGTCGGATGCAGCCCAGCCCCCCATTGATCTCCCATCGAAGAACCTCCTCCTCAAGAGAGCTCGTGGCCACCTCGTGTGTCGGGGGGCCGCTGGGCTGCAGAACTTCGCCCGCGTGTCGCGCGAGACGCCCCGCTGTCGAACGGGGCGTGCCAAGGGCCAAACAGTTTTCAACGCGCGCGGCGTGGCGCGCAGGGGTGGCCGCAGGCGCTGGTCCTCGGTCGCGCAGAAAGGAAGCCTTTTCGAGGCCCGGATTGCCCTGGATCGTCCGACGATTAAGCTTGGCAGACCCGGAATGCGCGTGACCACCCAGTGGCAGCGCTCGGGGCCGAAGATGCACTGGGGTGCCCGGGCTCGCCCTCAAGTCGGCCGCCTCAGAACGGCCGGCAATCCAGGCAGGCGCCGCCGGCAGTGCGAGCAGGTCGCGCCGGCGGTGCGGCAGCTCGAGGTGGCGGAAGGCATCCTTGACGTCCGCGTGCCTGATGTAGACCCGAACCCCAGTTGCGACCTTGGGGCTTCCAGGGCCAACGCCGGTTCCGCGGCGGCGAACCGGCAGTTGGAGCGGCGACGGTCGACGACTGGCCGAGCGCCCCAGTTTTTTTCATCCTCGCGAGGAAGAGCGAACCGAACTCCAGCGGCTGGGTCGCGTGGTCAACCCCGACCCTCTCGAGCTTCTTGGCCAGCCGCTGGTGCTAGCGCGGGGGTGTGCGAAGCACCTCGTCCTTGTGAGTCTTCCAATAATGGGCTGCCTTCGGGTCGAGGGGGGCTGCTCCTGGTTCTAGAAGAACAGCGTCGACGAACCCGTCGACTTCAACGCGGCCACCAACCCCAAAAAGTTCAGCCAAGGGAGGCCAAGGGGGCGGGGCGATTGCCGCTCGCCGGCAAGGGGGCCTTTTTTAAAAAACGAATGGCACCACGGTGGACTGGCCAACCTCGCGCACAGCAAACCCCCGGAGCTCCCGTGAGGTTCCCGAGGGCGCGAGAGCAGGTGGTCGGCCCATCGCCGCGGCGGCATCATAGTCACGTCGATGCGCGGCAGAGTGCGGGGCTCGCCATTCGCCAGGCCGCTGAGCGGAAGACCCCCGCTCGCAGCCTGCCAAGTCGCTTAGACTGGAGATCGCCTGGTTGGCGAGATCGGAGACGGCCTGGCGCTTTAGGACGCGACGCCTCGCGCGCCGACGAGGGGCCTAGGCTCGGTCGCCCCCCGTCGATGCTGAGCTCCAAGAAAGATCGGTCCCAACCGCGCTCCAGGCGAGATGGGGAAGAGGAAACATGTCACGCTGGCGCGGGCCGTCTGATCGCAGAGACCGCGGAGGCTTTTCCTGGCCATGGGGCGCAAGACCAGGCGGAGGACTATGAACCACACCTTCATCGCGTACTGAATGATTCAAGCTAGGAGGAGGTGTCGGTGCAGGGGGGCGAAGCTGGCTTCCCCCCTCCTCGGGGGCTCTCGCCCCTTGTCGCTCTTTGGTGTTGCCTTTGTTGTCCATCCGCCTCGGCCCCCTCTCCTCCTTGGTTTTCTGGATGTTCTCCACGATGGCGGCGCCTCTCTCCGCTGCCGGCTTCGCGTGTTCAAGGAGGGCGGGAGACGCCGTCAACAGGCCCCCTGCACGGCTGAGACCGGAGAAAGCTGTGGCCTTCTCGTTGGGCAATCTCGAGGTCGACCCGCCGTCTGTCTCTCTGATCATGCCATGGTCTGCCCACTCGATGGTCGATGGTCTGGATCCTGCGCGCGGCCGCCTCCGTGCAGGCCATGTTCGAGACGTTCAGCTGATGGTACTGCTCTGCGAGCTCGATGATGTGAAGCAAAGTCCCGTGCCCCGCCACGCCCCACTGCTCGGGCTTCAGAGAGCACGTGCTGCGGAACATCAGATGATGGTCCCGCGGGGCGCGGCGGCGACGCAAAGCATGTAGGCGCCAACTCATACTGCGAGTGCCGCTAACTGGGAAGTCGGTGAACTCCTCCTGCTGGCAACTGTCGACCACGTCGCGCCACTCACGCACGCGCCCCTGTGGATTGTACTTGATCGAGAGCTGCCGCGCATCTTGCACCGGCGTGGCCTCAGCGGGTGCTCGCGCCGACGCACGCTTGACGAAGTCAGCCTGGTCATCGTCGCTGAACTCCACGAACGCGGCCTCCTTGCCATCCGGGGAGTACACGCCCTTGCAGCCGATGAACGTCGTCACAGGCTTCAACTCCTGACCCGCAGCGTAGCCCAGCGAGTTGCCGTCCTCGACCACTCGCCACACGCCTGAGCCATGGGGCGGCCGTGCCGTCGACAACGCCCCCGTCGGTCTCGCCGCTGTCATGGGCTCCCTCACGGAACGCCGGCTGCACAAAGCCCGCGCCCAACAGCCCTCCGATCGGCGCCTTGCGGCCGCCTGGCACCCGCGCAACGGTCATCGAGACGGGGATCTCGCCGCGCTGCTTGGCATCCTTCAACGCCAGCGTCGCCCCCTTCCTCGCGCACTTCACTAAGGGCACCTCGTCCACCTCATCCCTCTCGAACGCGCGCACGGTGTCCAGGAATCTCAAGGGCAGTCGACCGTCGGGGGCGCGGCGGATCCACTCCACGGGGCTATCCTCTGGACTGCCTCCCTCGACCGTTTCTACGTACAAATCTCCATGGGGTGTTGCCACCACCCAGTGTACTCCGCCGCGGCTGTCCACGGACAGCGAGCACAACACTCTTTCATGCCAAAAATCGTCCGCAGCGCAGCGGACTACGATCACGTCCCCCGGCACGAGGTTGCACGATGATGCCGCGGCCAGCATGATGTCCTCGGTGAGCGCACACCGGCGACGGGCAGGCCACCGTCCTGGCCCCAGCTGCCCACACCCCGAGTGCGATCAGCGCTGCGAGCCACGCTGGCGGGCACAGGCCCCCGCGGCCCTCGGCGCCCGCGTCCGCGCGGGCCGGCGAGGGGCAAGGTGCCGTCTCCTCGCACACCATCGCCTCGCAGGCCGGGCAGGGGGGGGGCCGCGCAGGTCACCTGCGGGCAGGTCAGCGCTGGCAGCGCTGGGGGCGCCGGGCAAGTGAGCGAGACTAGTGGGCAGCTCAGCAATGGCGCCGGGCACCCAGGCTGCGGCGGACAGGCGGGACACCGGCCCAGACACGCCCCACCGATGTTCGACGCCCTGGTGGATCGCGGCCTCGGCGACCTGGGCGACGACCGTACACCAGCCCTGATGCGTCGCAAAACCGTGGGGTTCGCACACGAAAAACGCTTGAGCAGAGGTAGCCACATACGGTGGATGGCTTACAGGTGGGCTGCAATACCGTACAATTTCGTGTGGAGCAGTGCAATGTTTTGAAAACCGCCCGCCCTCAATCCTCGAAGCGTTGCAATTTTTCAACGAGCATGCGCGGCAGTAAGGCGAGAACCGAATTATTAAAACCACCCGCCCTCAAGTCGTGAAAATCCCTGCCTTTCTTGAATATGAATGTGCGCGGCGAGAGGGCGAGACCCACATTTTCAAAGCCTCTCGCCCTCAATCCGTGAAGTTCTTGCGAATGTTTACAACGAGTGTGCGCAGCGCTAAAGCGAGAGCCATATTTTGAAAACCGCCCATTCTCCATCTGTGAAGCTGTTGTTGGCTTTCAAATTCCAAGAACGTAGATGGTAAATGGTAAGGAAGTCTCAGGCGACACGTCCGGGCCCGCCTTTCCGACTGGCCTCGGGGAGCGACAGGGAGGAGTTGCTTATGAGGAACAGGAACGGATGATGATGCTGCTGCTGATGATGATAATGATGGTAATGATGCTAATGATGATGTTGATGATGATGATGCTGACGATGATGACGATGATGATGGGGATGGGGAGGAGGAGGAGCAGCAGCAGCGAGGTGGAGGACCGACGAGCGAGGAGGAGAAGGTTGGAAGGGAGGAGGAGAAGGATAATGAGGAAGAGGGGGGAACCAGGATGAACGAGGAGGAGGAGCAGGGATGAGAAAGATAAAAAGGCCGAAAAAGGGGGGGGGATGGGTGAGGTACGAACGAAGAGGAGTACGGGGAGGAGAGGCGATGATGGAGCAGGAGCAGGAGCAGGAGCAGGATGATCAATAACACGAGAAAGAATGCGGATTGGGATGAGGGCTGCGGAAGGCGGGGGAAGAGGAAGAAAAAGAGACGGATGATGATGCTGGTGCTGCTGATGATGATGGTGATGATGGTAGCAGCGGTGGTGGTGACGCTGAGGGCGATGCGTGGGAGGAGGAGGAGAGGAACCGTGTCAACCCAAGACGCCTCAACGATATTGCACAAAACCCTCCAAGTTCAAGTGTCATTGGTCCGTACAAGAACTTGTGCTCATGCCGAGAAGTCTGGATTAAAAGGCAACAGTCTGATGATCCCACCTCTTGCTGAAACGTCATTCCTGGGACTTCAGAGCGGCGAAGCAATGTAGCGGGCGGCTGCGTCCTGACAGTCTTATCGCGCCACCGCCTTCTATCCCTGAAACCGTTGCACGCCTTACAGACACATGAGCGCGGCGCTGAGGCGATAGCCACATGTTAAAAAAGGACCCGCCGTGCACCCTTGAAACTGATGTCAGGATTCAAAACTCACGGTCGCTCGTGGTGAGGAAGTCTCCCGCCAAACGTCTAGCCCGCCCTGTCCGCACGCCTGGAGGTGCGACAGAGAGGAGTTGGTTGTAAGGGCAAGGGGTGAGGCACAAGAAGGGGTAGGAGGAGGAGGAGGAGGAGGAGGAGGAGGAGGAGGAGGAGGAGGAGGAGGAGAAGGAGGAGGAGGAGAAGGGGAGAATGAGCAAAGGGATGCAAGGCCTGCTGATCTTCATCCTGCCTCCATCTCTCCCCAGAGGAGGGTGACAAGAGACTGGGGGGCGCAGAGGGGGGTGCGGGTTCGAGGGGAAGGGAAGTGACGGGGAGGGGGCAAGGGCGGGTGACGCGAGGGGAGGGGAGGGTCTGGGAGGGGAACCGAGGAGCGAAGTATGCACCAGGCGCGTGCAGCTGCCGAAAGAGATGTGCAAGCTTTCCCTGGGCTGGGCTCGAACAGGGTGGATCCGTCAATCTCCTGCCTGCCCCCATCCATCCGCCCCTCGCTCCCTTGTCTTTCTCTCTCTCTCTCTCCTCCACTGGTTTCCATACTCACCATCATCGGCACTATCTTCATTATCAACTTATGTGTCCGATTCGCTACTCAGCTTTCGCCTCATCCTTACTCCCCCGTCGTCCTCCATCTCCTGCCCATGTACTGTTCGGGTTACGAAATCCACTGCATCCTTCTCGCTCGCTCTCTCTCTCTCTCTCTCTCTCTCTCTTTCTCTTGTGTCTCTCTCTCTCTCTCTCTTTTTCTCCCTCCCTCTCCATCTCTCATTTTCACTCTTTCATCGCCGTACATCTTTCAACTACGCTAATAAGCGACCCCCACGTATGCTTTTTCAACTATCCGCCCCCGCCCCCCCCCCACCAACAACAACTATATTTCGCATTCGTTGTGTTCGTTTGTGTTTCTCGCTCATGTTTCTATTGCACGCCAATTTGGCCATACTGTTTTTGTTGCCTCCAACCTCGGCGCCTGGCACCGCCTGCTTGTCTACAGCTGCTGGCGATGAAAACACCTTTCTGCTGCTGCCTGGCCGCTATTCCGCCCATGTACCCCGGTGGGGGAACCCTTGACGGCGTGCTGCTTCTCCCCCCTCCCTCTCGAACATTGGCAGAACCCGGTTTAGCAACACATTTTTTCCGTCGGCGGCGAGGCAGAGGCGGCCCGCTCCAGCGTGTAGCAATTCGGGGCAACCGAATGGCTAATTGGCCAGCGTGCAAAAAAAAGGACAAGGACGAGGGCGGCCGCGCGGAGGCAGGGGGAGGAGAGAACACTCCTTGGGGATCCCAAAACGGCGTTGTGACCGACCGTGCGGCGACCTCGGGATCCCCAACGACCTCACTGCACGGTCCGTCACCGCACGATCTTAGGACTCTAGAGACCCCTCGCCCGAGACATCCTCGAACAGCGACCCGAGTTCCAAAACCGTGCGGAGACCCCAACTCCCCGCTGATTCACCACACTGTGTGGTCACCGCGCCGTTTGGGGGCCCACAAATTCAGACGTGGAAGACTTCCGAGTCGGAGCGGTCAGCCGCGGCAGCGGTGACCGTGGCAGCAGCCGGGCTGGGCCGAGGGCGCACCCACGGGCGCTGTCAGGGCCCAGTGACGATGTCGAGCAAGTGGTTGAAGCAGTACAAGAGTCCAGGGACTACCGACTGCAAAATGCGGTGTCCACCAGGTGCGTTGGCTTTGTGAAGTTGCGCTAGCGCAGCGTCCGCAGCGGGGCGGCACCGAGGGTGGAGCTGACCTGCTCGCCAGGAGAGGCAGCGAGGCAGCGCCAGGCGGCGCGCGAGGAGGAAGGGAAGTTGGCGAGGGGGGGAAGAAGGAAAAGAGGAGCGCCCCACCCGCGGGTGACCCCCGGCGGGCGGGGCGGCAGCAGCCCGCAGCCCAGCGCTGGCGGCGCTACGGGGGAGCGTGGGGAAGCGCCCACGGCTGCGGGGTCCCTGTGGTGCCTGAGTGGCGGCTGCGCTGCGAGACGGCAAAACTGAAGCCACGAGGCCAGTGCGGGTGCCCGGAAACGGGCCCGCGCGTCAGGATGACGCGGCGCCATGGGCGGGGGGGCCCGTTGGCGACGAGGGGCGGATACTGCAGGGCAGCACAGGCGAGAGGGGGGATGGAGAGAGGCGCACCTGAGCGGTGCATCGCCTTGTGGAATCATGGCCGCGCGCCGCCTGGGCAGACAGCGCACGGCCATAATGAAACCATTTGAGTGGTGCAGCACCTTGTGGAAGCATGGCTGCGCACCGTCTGGGTGGACGGCGCGCAACCTGAGAGGGGGGGGCCACCAGGTACCAGGTGCAGGTGCCGCGGATGGCGGCGATCTGGTGTGGTGGCCCCCGTGGGGTCGGCCGTATCTGGCGGGCGGCACTGCGAGTCGATGCGGCGCTGTGCCGACTGACCCTGCCCTGTTGCCTGGTGGGGGTCGCGCTGGAATGGGGGACTGGTGTCTCTTTACGCCAGGTAGGCGCGGTCGCACTGGGCCGTGTTCGGGCCAGGTCGGATCAGCGCGCCGCTTGCCTTTCCCCTTTTCAATCGCCGCCTTTCCCTTTGCATGGGCTGTCGTCATGGCGGCCCTGGGCCGTGGAGTCCCTGTGGCGCTGGCGCTGCCATACTCTATTCCAATCCACATGAATATGGCGGTGCCAGCAAGGGCGGCGGACGTCGTGGTGAAACCAGGCCAGGTCAGTGAGGAAGTCCTTGCAGAAGTTGTCCTGGCTGTACGTGCCTCTTCCTTTGCCCTTCCCGTCGCGCTTGTCGCAAGTGCTGTTCCATCTTTCGACAAAGAAGGCGCCACTTCCCGATTTCATCGGTTGACTACTTCAGGCCACGTTTCCCAGGCGTCGGTCTGGACAAAAAACATGCTCTTTCCCAGTTGATGGCCTGGCGGGGCCGCGCGCGCAGGCAGTCGTTGGGGTCGTTTTCGTCAACGTAGCCCCGGTCAGCGCAGGAGGGCCTGTCTCCTCTTGGCGCTGCCTCCGAATGGGCTGCGTGCGTTGCGTCGGCTGTTGAGGAGGAAGCTCCTGCTTTTCGGTTGTCCGCCCAGGCACAGCTGCGGGTGGATCTGGGGTCGGGCAGGTGCCCAGGGTGCTGTCGTGCGTGCGTCCGACGAGCCTTCCACGCCCGCCCGTTGGAAGGGGCGGGTGTTGCTGCGTCTGGTTCGCCAGAGGAGCCGCCGCTTGGGGGGCCGCTGCTGGCTGGTCAGCCTGTCGCTGGCCCTGGCGCCTTCGCGCCGGCCGAGGATGGGTCCCTAATCTCCTGCGTGCGCCAGGGCGTGGGCAGCGTCCTTGCCGTCTGGGCTGTCTTTAGGCATGATCCATGCCAGGAGCACTTTGTCCGCGCTGTCCCACACTGTGGTCCAGGCGCCCTCGATTCTGGCGCTGAGGAT